TATTAACAGTCGGAAACTAAGAGACACACCTCTAGGTAGCTCTCAGTGGTTCTCAACCTTCTGGCCCTTTAAATACAGTTCCTCATGTTGCGACCCAACTATAAAATTCTTTCCGTTGCTACTTCATCACTGTAATGTTGCTACTGTTACAAATCATAATGTAAATATCTGATATGCAGGATGGTCTTAGGCGACCCCTGTGAAAGGGTCGTTCGACCACCAAAGGGGTCGCGACCCACAGGTTGAGAACCGCTGCCTTAGATACAACAGGACATCAAATCCGAACACGCAAGCTGTCGGGAAAGCCACAGAAAGTAAACACGTCTCAGCAGAGCCAGGGGCTCAACTGACACGGAACTCGGATGCTGGGGGAAGGGTCACAGCGAGGGACTGTGTGCCCATCTCAGGAAACCAGAATGAGGACGATAAGGAAGGGGATAAGGAAGATAAAACCAGAAATTAAGTAGAAAACAAGTAAGTAAAAAGGAGACATGATGGTGTTCTTGCTAAAACAATGAAGCAGACGCCCCGTCCGAGGGAGGCTGCTGTGTGCTGGAATCTGGAGCCCCTCTGACCAGGGAGGGGGAAGGGCCCACGGAGGGGCGGGCTGGCGCGTGCTGCAGTGCCGCCACTGCACATCTGAGCAGCTGTTTGACAATCTGGGCCAACAGGCCATTTTCTAGTGAATGTAAATGACCACAATGACTTAAAACAGGGGAACAGCTGAATTGCGGAACACAAGAACCTGGGAAGGTGGTTAAAGGTGAAAGAATAAGGAGAGATCTGGGGACAGATGCTCACAGCTGAGGATGATCTGACCTTAGCTTGGAAGAGAAGTTATTCTAGTGTTATTTTAACTTTCCCAAGACAAAAAAGATGAAAACTCTGCAATTCATCTCATGAAACCAGTATAATCTAATACACAAACCTGATGTGATACAAAGAAAACGACAGACAAATGTCACTTATAAATGAAGATGAGAAAAAAATTAAATAAGAGATGAGCAAAGAGAACCCAGGAAGAAACTGCAGGCCCGTCCATCAGGACTCAGCAGGTCTGCACAGGCTCCAGGTGGCTCAGAGGAGGACGGACGTAATTTCATTAACAGCCAGCACGGAAAATTCAGAGAACCCGATCAGTAAGTACTGACAAGAAATGTGGCGAAATCCAGCAACCATTGTTAATGACACTAATTAAAACAGAAGAAGAAATCAAAGACTTAGCACACAAGAGAGGCCACGCTCATTCTACACAGGAACACAAAACCGGCCTAAGACCTGCAGGCGCCTGGTGGTGCTGGCCGTTGCCATGGTTACTCAGCGTTTTCTTGGAGGGTCTAGCAAACATAGTAGAATAAGAAAATCAAATAAGTGACATAAACATTAAGAAAAATAGATAAAACCATTTGTGCTGATGACGTGATTGCAAACCTAGAGACTTCCCTTTACTTTAGTTTAAAAAATTAAAAATTGGTAAGAAAAAGTGACACAGGATGACTATACGAAAGTGAGAAACGTTCACTCCTCTAGCAACAAGCACCCAGAAGTAAAAGCAGTGAAGACACCTGTCCACAGCAGTGACTGCAGTGAAGGCGAAGGTGCTGGGACCAGCCACCTGACCACAGGTGAGAACGCCAAAGGGCTCACTGCTCCTGCGCCCAAGGGCCCTCTGCTCCCACAGCCCAGGGGCAGTGCCCTCCACCCGCCTCCCCTCCGCCTCCAGGGGTTTGGAAACAGCCCCTCCAGCCGCAGGAGGTGAAGACCTGGAGGAAGTGGCCCACGCCCAGGCTGCGTTCTCTTGGGGAAAAGCTTTCATGCCGGGCGAGCTCTGAATCGAGTCCATACAGGCAGCCGTGCAGCGGGGTCTTCCCAGAAACCACGGGCAGGTCGGGGTGGCAGCTTTCCGGGAATGCCTCTGGAACGCGTTCCCGCCCAGCCCTTTCCGTCCGGGACAGACAGGCTATTATTGGTTTCCACCACGCATGCTGCAGAGCTGGACAGTGGGGTGAGCCTGGGTAAATTCAGCCACCTCACAGCGGCCGAGGAAGGGGAGAAATGGGAACCCTGTTCGCTGTTGGTGGGAATGCAAAATGGTACAATCACTGGGGTTCCTCAAAAAAGGAAAAGTACAACCACCACATGACCCAGCAACTCCACTTGTGGGCACGTCCCCAGAAGCACTGAGCAGGGTCTGGAAGAGATCTTCGTGGCCCCGGGTTACAAACGTGGGAGAACCCACGTGTCGCTGGGCGAATGACTAGATGAGCAAACGTGGCCCATCCGAGCAGTGGGTGTTGTTCAGCCTCAGAGAGGAGGACGCCGGCACAGCTACCACACGGTGCGCCTCGAAAACATCCCTCTCAGCCTTTGAGTCACGAAGGGCGCCCACTGCAGTGACCCCCTCACACGAGTTCCCTGCAGTGGTCACATTCGTCACGTAGGATGGCGGGTGCCCAGGGCCGGGGCAGAGCGGGAGTGAGTGCTGAGCAGGGACAGTTCCGGGTTCACAAGTGGAAAGAGTTCTGGGATGGGGTGGTGACGCTGCCCACCAGTGTGACTGACCTAAGACCACTGAGCTGGGCACTGAAGATGGTAAAGACAAACAAACACCTTACGATTCAGCCCGTTTTCTCAATAAAACCCACAACCTGCTGCAAGCCTGTGGCTGCCCTCCACAGGCAGCTGGTCCTGCGTCCCTTGAAGATGCTCAGGAACCTCGCCCTGGCTCACAGCCACCAGCCTGGGGCACAACTGCCTTTGTTTCCTGTTTTGCTTAAAGGCGCAGAACGTGTCGAGGCCATTGGGCACTCATGCTACTGAAAAAAGGCTTGTTCTGACCTTTTTTGCCTGTATTCCTCTTATGAAGGACGGGCATTTTCAGAAATCCCCACTTCGCCATGTTTGCTGAAGTCCTGACTTCCAGATTTGAATGAGACGCCGTGGTAAATGCAGCCTGGCACAGACAGACCTGTTCCCGGGAGGCAGACAAACCTGTGTTCACAGCCAGGACAGCACACCACCCAGCTCTGCGGCCCCAGAGTGTGGCCTGGCCTCCTCAGAAAAGTGGAGCTGGAGGTCACGGCCATGCTTGGCCAGAGCCCTGGGTTCCTCGACCCCCTGCACGGTCAGAGGGGGCATGGTTACTGAGCGAGGCTACAGGCAAGGCCCCCGCTGGGATAGCCGTGGGGCTCCCTGGCTCGGCACCTCCCAGACCCTGAACTGCAGAGGGTGTATCAGCCCGGGACCTGGGATTCCCCGCGGGTCAGGGTGCTCAGGGAAACCTGGGTCCAGAGTGGAGCTGAACGGGAGGGGGTGGGCAGAGTCCCAGGCAGGAGGGGCGAGGAGCAGCTGGTGGCTTCGGTGGCTCAGCCCCGTCTGTCCAGCCTTAGCAACTTTGTACGCGGCTCACACCTGAGGCAAACCCTCTGCCCACACTAGGCCAGCTCCTGGCCATGACCAGGCTCTCCTTCGAGCCCTGAGGGGACGCCTGGAAGACTCCTGGGAGTGCCCTGGCCCAGAGGGGTGCAGGGAAGATGCGGAGAGGAGGGGCTGGGTGGGGGCCGGGAAGGCTCGGCCTGCAGGACGGAGCCGCCCTGGGGAAGCTGTGTGCGGTCTGTGGTGTCTGGCAGGAGCGGCCCTGGTAGATGTCTGCTGAGTGGGTGAGTGAGCAGACAAACGTGTGCCTGTGTGACGGGCACTTCATCCCCCAGGAAGCCAGACACAGGCCTGAGTCTATGCCGAGAAGCCAGCCTGTCCCCCCGCTCACCCCACCCAGGTCGGGCTTGTGCCACGCCCAGGGAGGGCCCTGAAGCAGCCTGGCCAGGCCAGGCCTAGAGGGCCCCTGGGCCAGAATCCACATGACGGGGTGACCAAGGTCATCCGGGTCCAGCTGGAGGCAGAGCGCCCTGAGGGTGTCCTGGGTCTGGGCTCCATGGCAGGGCCACAGCTGGGGGCAGGATGACGACACGGCTTACCCAGCGCTCCCCGCATGCCAGGCCTGTCCTCAGCAACTCACACTCGGACTCCTGGACACCCACACCCTCTGAGGCCACCTGAGCAGCACAGACCCACCTCCCCACGCGGGAAGGCCTGCACAACTGCCCAACGCCCACCATTAGCAACACCCTGGGGTTAGACGCCTTTAAAAACGGCAAACATCCTCTGAGGTGAGTCTGCAGTGTCCACTCTGTACGTACACTCATCTGAGCTACGGCAGGCGCTGAGGTCAGGGGGCAGGGGATAGGGATGTCCCCTGTAGCCGTTGGAGTCACAGGAGAGGGGAGCAGATAGGGAGCGTGGGGTGCAGACAGGAGTGTGGGGGTGGACAGTCCTGGCCTACAGCCACACCCTGGGCCTCACTCCTCTGAAACCACCTCAGGGGTGACTGAGCACAGTGACTTACAGGAAGGGACCCTGAATCAGTGTCGACCGATACCCAAGCACTCATTGAATAACAGAATCCCTCTAAAAAGTGTCTTTTCCGTCCGCTCCAGCCCCTCCTCCCGAAGCCTTGGGGAGCAGGCTTCTATCTATTGAGGTCACTTCTGTGTCCCCACCACCAAGGCCCAGAAAGTACTCAACACTTAGTCCTCGGCAGGAGACAAGATACAGCGTCCTGTTTGCAGAAGAGGAGCCTGAGGGTCAGAGTGGTTTGCAGCAGAGTCCAGGACTCACAAAGTCAGCCTAATCCCTACTCACTGGGCTCCCCACCTGAGGCCCAGCCCAGACGCAGGGCCACAGGTCACGTGTCCCTGGATCTCTCCTGGATGTCCCTGCCCCTCTCTGAGCACAGCAAAAAATTGGGCCCCTTCCCCATCCCATGTGTCCTAAGAACCCCCTCAGGCAGATCTTGAAGAGGGGCCTCTACCACCAAAGGAAGTGCCTTCCTGGCCAACCTCCTCCCAGCCCCTACCCTGGACTAGGCTGGGCCCTGTCTCCTGGCCCCTGGTCCCCAGCAGCACATCCCAGGTGGGGACCCCGAGGGCTGTGGAGCTCTTCCGATGGGTGTGGGGGGCTGGGGAAGTGGCCCCCTGATGACGCTGGGCTGCCTCTCGGCCATCCTGGGCCTACTGTCAAGTGGGGCGAGCCCCGAGGCCCCCGGTGGCCAGTGAACAGGGGTGAGACCCGGACGATGCCTGAGCGAACAGGGAGAGCAGACGCGATATCCCAGGCATGTCCTGCCTCTGTCCTCCAACCCGGCTGCTGCTTCTCCAAGGGGAACCAGGAGCCAGGAGCTGGAAGATGCATCTGCTCGCGCTCCCTCGAGGGTGCGGCTTTCCCAGAGCTGACGGCAGGTCCACACAGATCCCCCGAGGCCATGAGAGCGGCGCTGCCCTTCTGACCACAACACCTGTCTGCAGGCGCAGGAACCAGACAGGAAAGATGGGCCTGAAGGCAGAGCCAGGCCACTTTCTCACAAAGGTTTTTTTGAAAAATGTAGTTGCTTTCATAAAACACCGTGAGCGGGGGTAGGTTTGCCTGGTTATTTTTAAGTGAGTGAAGTAGCCTGGTGCCGCTCCATCGCCCAGGCACAGGAGCTCTTTGGGTGTGAGGGTCCCGAGTCCACGTGTGAGCTGTGGGTCCTGCCGTCTCCACACGGTGCTCACAGCCACTTCCCTGAGCTCCTGTTATTGCTTTGAAACGCAGGTGGCCACATGGCTTGTTTCTGTTTCCATTCTGTTCTTGTTGATCCTTTTTCTCTCCTTTTTTTGAACACGTGAAACATCCTAAAACCAGCGTGCTTTCTGTTCACGCACAAGACCTCCCAGGGCTCGTGGGAGCGAGACCACCCTGCCCTCTCTTCCAGTTCCCAGGCCTGTGACTCGGTCCTGGAAACATTCTCCTGACAGTGAGCAGAGACAGACCAGAATCTGATGGCGGTGTCCTGCGTGCCAAGCACCCCGACCTTTGTCCCTCGAGGGATGTGGGTCAGGGACGGGCGCCTCCTGTCCCGAGGGACCTGGCGGCCCTGAGGGAGGGCCCTGGGTGGGAGGTTCTCCTCCCTGAGCACGCCCCCCACCCGCCCTGTGGTTCTGATTCCCTGGAGGGGCACCCGCCCAGCTCTGGGCGTTCTAAGCAAGCGGAGCCCTGAGGCCCCTCTTGCAGCCTGGCTCCAGCACTCCCACCACCAGCAGGCTGCGGCTGTGGCTGCAAACACGCTGGCTTTGGCACCACCTCCAGGGAGACACTGGGAAGGCCTGTTGGGAAAGCAGAGAGCAGTTGGGAGAGGAGGGCGGGGAGGCCGGGAGGGAGGGAAAGACAAAGAAAGGGGTGCGGCAACTGGCAGGCACCCGACCAGAGCAAGAGTGACCTCAGCGCTGGAGAAGCCTCTCAGCCTCAGAGCCAGGCGGCCAGGGCAGCTGCGGGGCACTGAGTCCCTTTCTCGTCTGCTCTCTGCCGGCCGCAGTGGGGGACCTGGGCCTCGCTGGCCAGCCGGGTGCCATCCTCAGCATAAATTGGAGCTCTGGGCTCTTGCTGGGACCATCCCAGGCCACAGCCTAGCTGCCTGCCTTCCTGCTGCTCCTGCTGGGTGAGTACTGCGTGTGCGCCTCTGACCCCAGCCCCTAAGTCACCGGCCTCCTGGCTTCTCCCCACCCCCATACAGAAACCTGCAGCACCCCAGAGAGAGGCCCGAGTTGGCCATGCAGTTCTGGGTATAGTGAGTCCAAAAGTTGACCCTCCAGGTCTGGGTTCCCTCGGACGGCAACCCCAGAAGTGGGTAACTGGGGATGCCACGCCTGGGCGCCAGGGCTCCAAACCTGTCGGGCACCCTAGGTTCCTAGACACACACCTGCAAATCCAGCTTCTCTTTCCAGAATGGGGGCCCGGCCAAGCCTGAGCCCGGAGGTGGAGCAGGGAGGGAACTGCTCAGGGCTGGCGTGCAGCGGGTGTCTGGGGACCAGCTCTGCAGCCTGTGGAGCTCTCCCCTCACCCCCCCCCCCCCCCAATCCGGACCCCCGCCGCCGCCCAGGGCAGGGCCCTCTGGGCTCTCCTACTGGCCACACTTGGCACCACAGCCAGCCAGCCACTGGGGGGAGACTCCGTGTGTACGGCCCGGCCCCTGGCCAAGTACAGCATCACCTTCACGGGCAAGTGGAGCCAGACGGCCTTTCCCAAGCAGTACCCGCTGTTCCGGCCGCCCGCGCAATGGTCGTCCCTGCTGGGTGAGCGCAGCCCTGCCCTGCGCGTGGCCTGTCCACGCAGGGGGGATGGCACCTGGCAGCTGCACCACACCTCACAGTCCGGGGGCACTCTAATCCAATTCACCTCAGTGCCAGCTATGTTTGCTGGACACCTACTGCATGCTGGCCAGTGATGGCCTGGGCTCTGGGGTGGGGGGCAGGATGGCAGAGTCAAGGGCAGGCCACTGAACTGGTTCCCAACAGTGTCCCCGGGCAGCACGAGGCCACAGGGTGTCCCCATGTAACGGTGGGAAGGAGGGGTGCGCTGACGCGGGGCGGCTGCTCATGCAGCAACGGGCCCACAGGGGCAGCGCACAGCTCTGACTACAGCATGTGGCGGGAGAACCAGTACGCCAGCAATGGGCTGAGGGACTTCGCGGAGCGGGGTGAGGCCTGGGCCCTGATGAAGGAGATCGAGGCGGCCGGAGAGAAGCTCCAGAGCGTGCACGAGGTGTTCTCAGCACCCGCCGTGCCCAGCGGCATGGGGCACACCTCCTCGGAGTTCGAGGTCCACGCTAGGCACTCACTGGTAAGTGGCAGACGGTGGGAAGGAGGGCAGAGGCGTGGGCTGTGGTGGCCACCCTGCTGAGCACCTGGCCCCCCAGGTGTCCTTTGTGGTCCGAATTGTCCCCAGCCCCGACTGGTTTGTGGGCATCGACAGTCTGGACCTGTGTGACGGGAACCGTTGGAGGGAACAGGTCACCGTGGACCTTTTCCCACATGACGCGGGGACAGACAGCGGCTTCACCTTCTCCTCCCCCAACTTCGCGACCATCCCGCAGGACACAGTGACCGAGGTGAGGGCGGGGAGGCTGTGACAGCACTGGCACTCGGGGCCGCTCCTGTTGCCCAGCTCTCTCTCTTGTCTGGACAGCACCCCTGTCGTAGGGTCACGGGAGCAGGGGAGTGGTCCTGCCCAGGAGGGAGCTGGCTGCGCTACATGAGGGGGGGTACGAGGTGGGGGCCCGGAGGAGGCCAGGCCTTCCTGGTCCCTTTCCCGGACCATGGGCCAGGTGCCCAGTGAGCCGCGAAGGCCCAGTTGGGGTGCTTCCACACTGCCCTGCTGGACTCTACTGGCTCCCACCCGGGCCAAGCACACAGCCGTGCTGACCGCCCTTCTCTCATCTCCCCAGATAACCTCCTCCTCTCCCAGCCACCCGGCAAACTCCTTCTACTACCCACGGCTGAAGGCCCTGCCCCCCATCGCCAGGGTGACCCTGGTGCGTCTCCGGCAGAGCCCCAGGGCCTTCGTGCCTCCCGCCATAGACCTGGGCGGCAGGGGCAACGAGATCGGGGACAGCCTCTCGGGTAAGCCCAGGCCCCCCCCCCACTACCGCGTGTCCTCCACAGCCGTGCTCCTGGGCCAGTGCTCAGGCCCCGGGAGCCGCCGTGCCCACCACTGGCGCATGGGGCAGAGAACCACTCGGAGAGTGTGTCCCACGGGCTGTGCTCAGCTCTCACGGCAACCAACGGGCAGCTGCCGACACCCAGCCCTGCACCAGCTCTGACCTCTCACCCTGAGAGTGGCCCTGAAGGAGTGTCCCAGGAGGGACTGTCTGAAGTGGCAATAACACCACCTGACACCCACCACTCTCCCGAGGCCAAGCCAGTCGCCCACATGTGACCCTACAAGGAGTGATGGTCCAGGGGCCGAGGGACGTCATCCACCCCCGCGGTGCTCCCCTGTAGCAGCCCCAACTTGCCATGGAGGTCACCCCATTCTAAGCCAGGCTCTTGGGTGTGAAGTGCCCACCACCAGGCTGGGCCAGGACCCCAGCAACACCAGGGGTCAGGAAGGGAGTCAAACCAGGGAGGGCACTGATGCTCAGACAGCCCAGGGGCCCGAGCTGAGGGCCCCATGAGCCTGCGTCTCTGAGCAACTTCAAACATGGGTTCGGCACCAGACCTCGGGGGTCCTGGTGGTTCACAGCATGTGGTACAAGATGATGGGGTTCAGAGCATTCTGTGAGGATGACTAGAATTCTGGGAGACTTGGTAGTTGGTTGATTCAAGCTCTGAGCTAAAGATCAGACTCTTGCCCAACATGGGTAAGTGCAGCCGGAAGGAGGTGTGAGGGGCCCAGCCCGTGGGAGGTGGGCCACTGGCCTGTCACGGCAGACGGGAAGGGCCTCACTAAGTGGACCCCTCTGTGCCCTCCACGGCAAACGTGGAGGTGGCACTGCCCACTGGAGCGGGAAACCTGTGTCAGGCCCTGGGTGAGTGTGGGGCCGTGCTCCCGCGTGGTCAGCTCTGACGCGGGTCAGGGACTGGGTTCACAGCAGTGGGTGGAGCCCTCAGCGTGGGGCTCCCTGAAGCACAGGTCACAGCCGGGTCCCCTCCCCCAGGAATGGGACATGGCCGAGTCCCCGGGCTCCCGTCCCACGGCTGCCTGTGGAGAGGAGCACAGCACCGGCTCGCAGCGTAGAAGCATTGAGTCCAGTCGTGTCCGTGGTTTCTCAGGAGGGTGGGTGGCATTCTCTTCGGCGGACTCTGAGCCACGCTGCGAGGGCGTTTCCCCTCCACCCCGCCCGCAGTCTGGAGCGGGTCTCACGGGTGAACACACCCCGGTGCCCTTCTGCCACCCACTCCTCCTCCACGCGGCTCACGGGTCTCTCCTGTGCTTGGTCCAGTTCCAGAAACGCCGCTGGACTG